CATTGTGACTTCTCATAGTTTAAAGTTGGCTGCTAGTCATGTGCAACTCCATCTTCTTACCTGCTTCTGGTCAGTGATTTACAGCCTCCAGTGTGTGCCATTAATTGTTCTCACTGAGTTATTTTTAAGGTAACTTGTGTACGTGTGTGCTAAATTGTGAAGATGCTTTCTGAGATCATATATGTGGAAACCCAAGACAGTACAGGAGTGCGGCAGTATTCCGTTTATAGAACTGGGTCAGCGAATGCACCTTGAGTCTGACCTACAATAGGACATTCTTTGCAGGTGCAGTTCAAGATTTCCTATTCTGTAGAGGCTTATAGGTAGATTCAAATATAGTATGAGGAAAAGAGTGATTGATAGGATTGGCGTTTCAGGTACAGTCCTGAATATGTCAAAGAATGAGAAAAAGCTACTTTCTTTCTTTGGTGGTGTCAGAGATGAATGTATTGTAATAAAACTCCTGAGCGTAAAGGATCATTTTAATTAAAAGGAGGGCAAGTCAAACAAAAAGAGAAAGATTATAAATTTTCTTATGTATCGGAATGTGACTTATAGTGGAAATAGCCTCACAGAGAAAGAGCAATTAACATCTTGGCTTAAAAAACCCCCACGTATTGTTAAAGGTATTGTTCTTTCGGACTTGTAGATTTCTGACTGTAAACCGTAATATCAGTATATTCAAACTAGGGTGTTTCTTATCCGAGTCCCTTTACAAATACCTTTCTAAGCATATGAAAGGCATCTGTGGGTGATTCATCCTCGCCATTTCTGAGTAGCGTGTGTCGCTGAGCTGCCTTGTTAGGAAGGGGTGCAGTTAATGTAGTATTTGACATACGACTCGCGTCCCTCAGCAGACTGTTTTTCATCTCTTGCCTTTGTTGGTGATTTTCTTTTTGTGCTTGGAAGGCTTGTGATCTTTTGAGGATTGTTTGAGAAGGCAGTTTTCCACATTATGAAGATTAGCAGTTAAAGCAGCTCGTAGTATTTCAAGATGGTGCGTTCTGTGATGTAATGAGACGTGTTCTTGGTCTGAGCAGGGAATTAATGACTCATAATTTGCAGCTAATACAAAATGAAACAAGCACATGCCAGATGTAGGATGCTGAGCCTTGCTGTTTAATTAAGGAGGAACCAAGAGTGAAATTAGGGTTAAAAGCTCTGAATAGACTGATTACTGTTACAAAACAGCAAACTGATAGGTATGTATTAGAGATACAAAAAGCTCAAATTCCTGTATACTGTATCTGCAGTGCTTGTAGGTGACAGGGAGTGCATGTATGGCTTGGGCCAGTCTTGTAGTAGCTTTTACTGTTGGGAAGATTATTTACTTTGTCTTGTATGCAGCCACATTATTCTGTAATGTTCAGCTACCCTGCCTGCTATCTGTATATTTAGAGAAAAAAGTTAAGGGAGGCTTGATTTGTCACAGCAATTTACAGTCTCTTTTTTAAAATTATTATTAATTGTATTTTAAAACAGTAATGATCGGACACTAGATGCACTAAAAAATTATCTTCTGAGCTTCTAATAGTTGAACCATGACTATTAAATACTTAAAATATCAATACAGAGAAAGAGAGTTCTTAGAGATATAATAAGGAAATAAAAAATCAACTTAAAAAATTGGAACTGTTTTATTTATTTATTTGTCTTTAGGACCCATGCTAATCTTTAGTCAAGGAAAAAAAAATCATGGATTTCTTAGAAAAATGTTCTTCCTTTGTAAGTTTTCCTATGCAAAGAAGGATTCATATGTTATGGTTCAAGAATTCTTTGAGGTGATCTGCAGGGAAATTATGCTTTTTTTTAAAGTAGCTGAGTAGGAAAAGCTATTTATGTTTAAGAGATCCTTAAATACGAGTTGAAGAGCTTAAGTAGCTAGTTCTGAAGTGTGTATGTCTATAGGAGAATTTAGGCACAAATTGTGATGTCAGCGTTACTAGTGCAATTGGTTTGAAAGTTTTATGGATAACAAAATACTTAAACTGATTAAAGATACAGCCACTTAAGTTGTTTGTATATGATGAGATTATCCCAGCAGTTACATGACTGAAAGACAGTAGGCTTGGCTCTGTCTTCTTTGTTTTCTTTGGTTCAGAGTCTTGCTATTCTCAATCCATTTTTTTGACTGGAGTTCATGTTTTAAAACTCTGCAAAAACCTCTTTAGTAGGTCTCATTGTCTGGCTTTTTGTGTTCATCTGTCCAAGTTCATTAATTTTTGTGTTTTTGAGGAAAATTGCTTGATTTTTTTTTTTTTTAATTATTTTTAAAGTGTTGGAAAGTGTTAAAGTGACTTTTGTACCTTTGCTTATTTACTATGTTGTAGTAAATAAACCAGGAAGGTAACACTCAAGATTTACACAGGCACATATTAAATACAATACATAAATTGCTTAAGCCAGCTACCTCGTCTGTAACTCTGGCTGCATTGCATGTTTTATTCCCTCATCCAAAATTCTGTTTTCCAACTAAGCCTTTGTCCATCTTAATTTTTTGTTTTGATTTTAGTTGTACACTGAATTAGAAACTAGTATTTGAATCTAGAATTCCTGTCCTATAACAGGTAAAATTTGCAGTGCAGTGGACTGTGTACAGAATAAAACTGTTAGGAGCTGTAGGGAAAAAATAAAGGAAGAAAGAATTAACACTTTTGAAAAGTGACAATAGAAAGGCATAGTAGGTTTTGTCTCTCTTCCTCTGTATAGATGCGTGTCTACTTCCTGCATACAGACTTAACTACTTTGCTTCCTGTATGGGGTTTGCTGCCTCAGGGCGTGCAAAACCAGTTGTATGATTATGAATTCAAATATGGTCTTGTTTGATGAATAGGTAATGCCCTTTTGTAAAATATATTTTTTAAAAAAATCATAGAAATAGCACCATACCTCCACACTACTCTTAAAAGATATTAGATACTTACTTATTAATCTTACTCCTACAAAGAACCAGATAGGATAGGGTGATAAATTACATTTGTTACCCTCTGGTTTTCTAAATAATTCTCCCAAGCACAATCTGTAAAAATCTGAACAACGTTGTCCAAACTTTCTGTAGTGTTTTACACAGAGATCATTTAAACAGAGATGCTATGAAACCTATGTAGAAAGATGTATTCCTTTCCTGTCAGTGGGAGAGATTAGAGTTCTAACAAGTCTCACTAGAGGGGACTTGAGAATCCCTCTCACTGTCCGTGTGGACCTTCAAATCAATCCGTGTCTTTCTGTAGCTTTTGACTTTACACCAGCTCCAGTACAGTTGCTTGCACTGATAACTCTGAGGCAGTGAAAGCTTATAGCTACATTTATAGAATCGTAAAATTGTCTTGATTGGAAGGGACCTTTAAGATCATCGAGTCCAGCCATCAACTTAACACTTCCAAAACCACCACTAAACCATTAGAATGAGGTGGCTTAAAAATCTGCCACACCGGATTGAGACAAGAAGCATGTATTTGTAAAACAGGTCTACTGTTGTGATGGGCTTTTAGTGCGTTTTGCCCCATTGGGTTTAAACCTGCTTTTCCTTTCTTCAAAAGATTCTGTGCTGGCTTAGCCTTCATTAGTTGCAATTCAGTATATTCAGACAGAGCCGTGTGCCTGGTTCTATCTATGATCTTTTTTCCTTCTAGTAACAAATTAGTGTCTGTTTCACACCTTAGATGTAATTGTGCACAGAGATTTCTCTTCTGGCTAGGTTTCATGTTGGATAGGTATGTCTTTATTCTTTTTGCATGAAGGCATGACCATTGCAAGGCTGAATGTATTTTTAAGTACTACTTTCTTGGGTTTGTGTATTCTTTTTGTAATGGTGAATAGCTGTTAATCTACCTGTATTCATCACCTAGAATTCATTTAACTTCTACAGTGGTGGTTAAAATGTGCAATTTTTTGTAAACATCTACATGTGCGTTACATGCACACACCTGCCTTCCATCTTTGGTGTCGAATGGCTACAAAATATTGAAGCATCCAGAAGGAATTGCTACCACAGCTCATGTAAGATAGACAAGTGATCACATACTTATTTTGGGGTGTTGTAGAAAAACTGTAGCTATTTACAAATCATATTTCTCAGAACTTCTCTAATACAAAATGGAAGTCCCTATTCATTAGATGTGCTCTGCTGTTTTTATTTCCATATGATCAAAGGTTCAGTTCTTTGTATTCAGGATGGAGATTGTTAATTGAAGGCGTGAAAACATGCCGAAGATAATTAAGGTTGAGTTGTATGCTAAAGCTAGCATAGTCTGTAACAATTTCTTATGTGACTGTGCATGTGAGAAACATTTATTTATAAACTTGGCTTACATTAAATTGTAGTTAATTTTTATACACAATTTTAGAGAGTACGTGCTTTTAAAAGTGTTATTTAAGCATTCTGGGTAATAGTTCTCAGGTTATAAATGAGAAGTGTGTAAATATCGTTCTGCTCATCAGGTTTTGGTGAGTTGATTTCTGATGCCATGCTAGATTAGATGTTTTGTACAGATGTATACACTCTGTATTACATGTATTTGTGAATATGAAGTTCTTGTATTAACTGTGATAGAACCAAATTCAGTTTCCCCAAATTATCTGTGTTTTAAGACAATATATTATTACAAAATAAACCAGTGTAGTGTACAGCTCTTGTGACAAATGGGTATGCCTGTTAGGTATCACATAGTAGGAGATCGTAACAGAGAGGGTAATTTGAGTGTATATGCGCAAAAAGAGCAACTTCTTTTTTTTTTTTTTTTTTTTTCTTTTTGATGTAATGTTAGAGCACATACTTTGGCTGTTTAACTCTGGAAATAGAAGCTGGAAAACTTGAAATGCTGTTCAAGTCCAGGACTTAAAGCATTGTAAAAGTTGTGCAAAAATATAATTGCATGCTGAATATACATTTCAAATTTGTATGTTTTAATGACTTCGTAAAGGAAAGCTTTGTTCAGTTATAGAGAATTGCTTATTTCATTTTTACTTCTAGGTTAACTAGTGTACTCTTCCATTTCAGAATGTATGAAAACATGTCCACAATGGTGTATTTAAAGGAAGACAAGTTGGAGAAGCTCACTCAAGATGAAATCATTGCCAAAACTAAGCAAGTGATTAATGGACTAGAGGCACTGAAGAATGAACACAATTCAATTTTACAGAGCTTACTTGAAACACTGAAATGTTTGAAGAAAGATGATGAAACTAATCTGGTTGAAGAAAAATCAAACATGATTCGGAAGTCACTGGAAATGCTGGAGCTTGGCCTTAGTGAAGCACAGGTAAAATTGCAGTAGAAATAAAGCCTTTCGGACTTGGAATGATTTTTTAGTATGAAAGAAATAAATGAAAGATCATTATTTGACCTGTTATTGGAAATTTTGAAGTAAACAGAGATCAGTTTTGAAGGACTTACATTTGCCTTCCTGGATATTAGCAATATGCTGGGACATTTATGATGTTGTTGTATGTTGAAAAAAATCTGCTGTATTTAATAGAGGTAGATATTGGCTGTCTTGCTGTGCTACAGAAATAGTTATGCTTTCAGTATTAGAGCACTGAAGCTCATAACTGAGCTCCTCTTTACTTCAGTGAGACAGTTGCTATTTTCTGTTTCAACTTTTCCACAGCATTAGGCAGGTGATGTTTGAGCAGCTTAAGAAATGAGCATTCGTTCATTTTAACTCTAAACTATTGCATAGGGAGGTCTCAAATAAAGGAATTTGCTCCAACCTTTGAGCACTGCTGTAACCTTAAATTCATATTTTTATTTCCTTCCCTGGGGAAGGGAATAAACCCTCCCTGGTTTAACCCCAGTTGGCAGCTAGGACCATACAACTGCTTGTGCAGTTCTTCACCTTCCCCCCTCCCCCAGAAGGGCAGGGAGAAGAGGGAGAAAAGGAGGTGAAAGGGAAAAAAAAGCCCCTCGTGGGTTGAGATAAAGACAGGTAATAGAACAATAACAGAAAAAGGAAAATAACAATAGTAGTAATAATAATAATGGTAAAAGAATATATGAGATAAAGTAATACAGCACAAGTTGCTTTCACCACCCAGTGAATTGGTTGCCGAGCCCAGCCCGAGAGGTGATCACAGATCCCTGCCTCCCAACTAGCCCACATTTGTATAGTGAGCATAGCGTGTATGATACGGAATATTCCTTTGGCCATTCCATTGTTCTGTCTGTGCTCCTTCTCAGCTTTTATGGGAAGCTCACAAAAGTCCTTGAATAGTTTAAACATCACCTAGCAACATCTAAAACAGTATGTGTTATTGACAGTCCTGTCATACCTAGTCTGGAACATAGCATCCAGTAGAAAGAAAATTAACTCTCTTCCAGCTGAAACCAGAACACCTTGATTTTGAGATTCTTTATAGTAGCTCGCTATACTCCTGGAGCTTAACAGTCTCTAATGTTTATTGAACATTTTACTAAACGTAAAGTGAATCTAAAAACATTTTAAAGGTTAAGAATCAAGTACAGAATCTGAACAACTTTCACTGATGTGTTAAAGAGAGGACTCTGAGCAGTTCTGTGAACTTAGTTGGTGAAGGTATCGTCTGCAGAAGATGAGTGTGAAGGTGCATGTTTAGTCAAGATGTCAGTACTATCTTTACAGTCCAGATTTAGGGTATTTTGTACTAGGTCAAAAACCTGAAACGATGTGATGCAACACAGTCATCAGTACAAAATGGCAGAGTGTTTGCAAATGAGTTGAAAATGTCACTCACTTAACTTTGTATTAATAGGCTTTATATCTGTTGACTTAACTTTATATTAATCGGCTTTATATTGGTCTATAACTGTGCTCAGCCTTCTCATCTGGATCGAGCTATTATTATTTAGTGATCTGGAAGTTGTGTGCATTGGATCATGGTAAATTGAGGCCTGAGAGAGTGAACAAATACGGGTTACCAGAAATGGGAATGTAGAACCCCTGGACATTATGGTAGAGACTGTCAGGCTTTAGTACATTGTACAAGCTTTGATCCTTTGTATTGGAAGAAAATACTAGAAGATACATGGAATAAAATTGCACTTGTTGAGTTACCTTTAGTTGGTGTTTGTAGAAGATCTGTGAGTGAATGAGTACCTTCTCTTTCCTAACTTTGACATGGTATCAGGACTCCAGAAAGCTTGGCTCTATCGGATTCAGCAGCCTCAGTTGCAGATGTTATTGCCGCCTTTGTCCCACATGGTGTGTTGTGAACTGTGGTGGCAAGGAGCCAAGAATTCTGCATTTACTGCCTTTGTTAGGAAAGCGATTACACTTCAGACTACTACTCTCAGATCTGATAAGCCTACTCTCCCTGCACGCTTTGGGTTGCAACAATGTAGATTTTAATTTTTTTAAAAATTTAAATAAAGCATTTAAATTAAAATGCAGAATTATTTTATAGATATTTTGTGACGTGGATGTAGGTCTGATAACACATGTTAATTCTATGAAAATGAAACTGACTTTGCTGAAGAAGTAATCAAACCTTTGTTTCAGTTAATTCTAGAGGGTAAGATTACAAAGGATTTTAGTTTGCCATTGTAGCTTGTAGAATGTTGTTTGAGAACGTTGACCCTATTATCCCAACTTTCCTAAATGTACTTTCTGATGTTACAAATGCCACTGTTTGAATAGGCCAAGTAATTTAAATTGTTAACAATTTTGAATATGGAAATAGGTAGGTGCTGAAGTCTGGAGATTAGGACTGGTATTTGGAAATTACACCTGGAGTTAGGAAAAAACCTGGAGTTTTATCTTACCTTTATAAGAAAAAGTATTTTCTAAAGGCTTGATGTATTTTTTTGAAACCTGAAATACCAGCTAAGCATGCCATCTGTTTCACATTAAATATTTAGTTTAAAAACACTTCAAAGTAACTTTGTTTTAAAGAAACATAAAATTGAGGAGGTGAAATACTAGTAACTTGGGCATTTCAAACTCTTCTAAAAGAAGATTTTTATTATCATCAGTTGCCCATTCTTACAAGGTGTGCTTTCTGGGATTGCTATCAGCTGTTCTACGTGTATCAGTGGGAGATTACATAAACGGTGAAGGGAGAGTATCTTCTGCATGTAGTGGCTGGCTTTCACTTAGCAGGCTCATTTTTAATTTAATTTTGCTTAGAAAAGAAAAAATAAGCTCAAAGTAGACTGCTTTTATAGCTGATCCATTTTTTTGTCCTTAATGTGACTGTTCAAACACATTGACTGTCTGCACACTCAAGTTTGATATGTATATCTAAAGTGCTTATATAAATTGTGTGTTCAGTTGTGCATTTAGATCTCAGTAGTATAATTGTCCCTTCGAAATATTATTGTTATGCTGAGGTGTTCATACTTATGAACTGTAAGCATGTGTATGAATCCTTTTCTGTCTGAAAGCTCTTAAATTAGAACTCTGTATTAGTTCTTAGGTTATTTTTGTGATCCTTCAAGTTAAAAGTATTACTGCTTCATTTCATGTTAGTGGAACACAGATTTTCGTTTTCAGTAATCTAAATCCTAGTTCAATTTTTTCATATAAAAGTTGTAATGTAATCTTCAGGGAATTCTAAAACAATTTGACTTCTGACAACATCCTGGAAAACAATCATTAGTAAAGAGTTCTTTTAGATTAATTCTGGCTGAACAAATGGTAAAAAAACTTCAGAGGAGAAGTGAGAACCAGATATATGAAGAAGAGACATCTGAATGTTTAACAGATTTCACAGCTGACGTAGGTTTTAAATAAGAAGAGGCTTTTATGTTAAATACAGAACTGCATTCTAGAGGAAGTATGTCATGTGACACCTTCTGGTTTTTAGGTAATGATGGCCTTGTCAAATCACTTAAATGCAGTGGAATCAGAGAAGCAGAAATTGCGTGCTCAGGTTCGCCGGCTATGCCAGGAAAATCAGTGGCTACGGGATGAACTAGCCAATACACAACAGAAACTACAGAAAAGTGAGCAATCTGTGGCTCAACTGGAGGAAGAGAAGAAACACCTAGAATTCATGAATCAATTAAAAAAATATGACGATGATATTTCACCATCAGTAAGTAGCTGTATAGTAAAAAGCACCTTACATTTACATGTGTTGTAATCTCCCTTGTTACCAAGAAATGACAGATAGAAGGTTTTTATTTGTCTGTAACATAAACTTGTCTTTAAAATGCTCACCTTGTACCAGTGTCACATAGCTTGCAGAAATATTCTGAGAGTTCAGTTCATTCTTATTTTAAGAGAGTAAATGTTTTACTGTCTGCAGGTAATAAAATACATATCAGGGTCAAAATCCATAAATACTTATTTAGTATCATATTAGCTTAACAAAATATGGAGAACTGAACTTCAAGCCAAAAATTTCCTGCTGTAAATTCAACAGTTAAAATAAGTGGGAAATGTAAACTATTAGAGATTCTAAGTACACAGGGGCCTTGGCTTATTTTGACTGCAAGAAATTTAATTTTTGTGTAGTGAAATTAGTGTATAGGTTTTAGATCTGTGGAGAATTTACTCTGGGATAGGATGTTATTGAATGCCCTTTCATGACCTTCTGCCAGACATTGTGAGCATCTGCATGTTTTCAGTCGTGTTTAGCTAGCCCATTGTGTTACATATTCTTAGATTCAGAGAGAAAATGGATGAAATTTTAATTTAGAGAAGTAACTTATCACTTAAAACGACTTCTGAATTATTTGCCCTTCTTGTTATCCTTTCGAGTTTATTTCTTAAGTTAGATGGCACTGTAAAGAAATACCTCATTTTGTGTGTTCAGACCTTCTCAGTTGGGTCTTGGAAAGAACTGTTTTTCATAACCAATTAATTCAGCAACATAATAGTTGATAATGTATGCATGTTAATCATGCTTAACCAACTGCTTCCCTAAATCCTTTTTAACATATTGTGAGTAGCGAGAGTTGTTTTGGTCAGTTGCACACTGCGTTTTTCAGTGCTGTTTCATGAGTTTGTCTTTGTAGCTGAATACTGCCTGTGAAGCCTGTTTAGAAAAGAGGCAGGAGGAGGGAATATTGGGATTTTGATGAGCTAACTGTTGAATTGTAATCTGCAGATGGCCTTGGCAAATACAGTCAAAGTAAGCAAAGCATCTTTATAGTTTAACTAACCATATGGACAGTCTCTGTTGTTAGCCTTTGAAAACAGTCAATTGTATATACTCAGTATGAGGCTGGAATCAGCGCACTTAGAACTGTGGACTTCCCATCTGAGATCTAGCCCCATCAATCTGCTGGTTTTGCACCTTTCCACCGTTGAACTTGAATGCCAGCAGCAGTTGCCTTTTTCTCATCTGTGGAAAAAGGTGTTGGATGTAGAGCCAGAAAAGAAGGAATGTGTTCTGCTCCTGGGTTTTCTCTTTACTGAGATTAACGTTTCTGAGAACTTCAACTATTTATAGTGTGTAAACTCCACGTTTAAGAAACAGGATTGAGCGATGATCTGTTTCTTTATTTTACGTGATTGTCGGATCTGGAATGATCTTTGAATGTTTTAAAATCAATATACACTGATGGATTGTGCAGAAATGAATATGGTTTCAGATGGAGACTATTGGAGGTGAACTTCCTTCCGAGTATTGGGGGTTTTTTTTGGCTTTTGAACCTTACAGATCACAGAATTATAGGGGTTGGAAGGGACCTTTGGAGATCATCTAGTCCACACCCCCTGCCAAAGCAGGTTCACCTAGAGCAGGTTGGACAGGAATGCATCCAGGCGGGTTCTGAGTATGTCCGGAGAAGGAGACTCCACAGCCTCTCTGGGCAGCCTGTGCCAGTGCTCTGCCACCCTCAAAGTAACAAAGTTTTTCCTCATGTTGAGATGGAATTTCCTCTGTTCCAATTTGTGGCCATTGCCCTTTGTCCTGTCACTGGGTACCACCGAAAAGAGTCTGGCCCCATCCTCTTTACAACCCCTTTAGATATTTATCAGCATTGATGAGATCCCCCCTCAGTCTTCCCTTCTCCAGGCTAAACAGACACAGGTCTCTCAGCCTTTCTTCATAAGAGAGGTGCTCCATTTCCTTATCATCTTCGTAGCCCTCCACTGGACTCTCTCCAGTAGTTCCCTGTCTTGAACTGGGGAGCCCAGAACTGGACACAGTACTCCAGGTGTGGCCTCACCAGGGCAGAGTAGAGGGGGAGGATAACCTCCCTCCACCTGCTGGCCGCATTCTTTATAACGGACCTCAGGATACCAGGCCTTCTTGGCCACAAGGGCACATTGCTTGCTCATGGTCAACTTGTCCACCAGGACTCGCAGGTCCCTCTCCACAGAGCTGCTTTCCAGCAGGTCAACTCCTAACCTCTACCAGTGCATGGGGTTATTCTTACCTAGGTGCAGGACCCTACACTGGTCCTTGTTGAACCCCATTAGGTTGCTCTCTGCCCAACTCTCTACCCTGTCCAGGTCTCACTGAATGGTGGCACAGCCTTCCGGCGTGTCAGCCACCCGTCCCAGTTTTGTGTCGTCAGCAAACTCTCTGAGGCTACACTCTGTCCCCTCATCCAGGTAATTGATTTATATGTTGAACAAGACCGGACCCAATACTGACCCCTGGGGAATACCGCTAGTTACAGGCCTCCAAATACACTCTGCGCTGCTGATCACAACCCTCTGAGCTCTGCCATTCTGCCAGTTCTCGATCCACCTCATTGTCCACTCATCTAACCCATGCTTCCTAAGCTTACCTATGAGGGTGTTATGGGAGACAGTGTCAAAAACCTTGCTGAAGTCGAGGTAGTCTCACAGAGCCTACCTTGTGAGCAGATCACAATTGCAAAATCTATTATTTGTGCAGAAGTTGAGTACTCAGAAGTTGAGATGACAGAATTAAAGTTGCTGGTGCGACTTTATTCTCCTTCAGGAGATGAATCTCCGTATTCCTCTCCCATGCTCATCTATAGCTGTTTTTATGACTAAAAAAGTGGAGTGGACAATTCTGTATTCAGTAGCACTCACTCCTCACTGGGTACTTTCATTGGGCATAATGTGTCTGTAAGAATAGCAAATGTGTTCTTGTGTGCTTAAATTGAGACTGAAATCTAGGAGACCTCATTTCTATTCCTGGCTCTTCTGAAGGTGTCCTGTATTGTTTCAGGACAGAGTATGTAAATGCATTTGAACAAAAGACCTTTGTTAAACTTCTGTGAGAAATGTTATTCTTGGCAATTCCTAAGTTCTCAATTTGGGGTTTTTCTTTAATGTTGCTGATTAAATGGACTGTCCTTTTATGCCTTAGATTTAAGTGTAACAATTTGGGTTTGGGGTTGTTCTATAGGAGGATAAAGATACAGATTCCACCAAAGAGCCTTTGGATGATTTATTTCCCAATGATGAAGATGACCAAGGACAAGGAAGTAAGTACACTTCAAATTACGATGTTAGTGTATTTCTGCAATGCAGAATATAAAAATGCTCTTTACAAAAATGAATCCATGTTTGGGGTCCTCTGGGATACAGCAGAGTGGTGAATGCCTCCGCTAGAATAAGGAAACCTGTCATTGATACACATCCTGTACATTAATATGTATAGGACTGGGGCGTAGTTTTTTAGAGAGAGTTTACTAGCTGTTGTAAAGTTCTTGGGACTTACTTCAGTACAAAATTGGTCCCACAGTCTTTCCTGTGGGCCTCAGAAAGGAAAAGGTTTATTCCAAGTGACTGAGGCAGATTCTGAAACGTTGAAGCTTTTTGATGGTCTGCCCAGATGGTGAATTCTGTTAGTGACCCGTTTCATGATCTGATTTAACATTTTGGGGCAGGTTTTAGTATGAAGTCTTTCTCCTATAATCTTTTGTCCTTTACTGATAGTGTCTTCCTTAGTTTTACTACTCATTCTTGACATATTGTCTTGAGGTCAGAAGGACTGATGAATATGCAGTGATGTTTGAGGTAGGGTATGGTAGTGGGGTTGAAAGAAGCCATTAATAGGAAAGGCCTGCTTAGTGAAATGTGTTTTTTCATATGGCTGTAAAGCTGATACTATATAATGTATTGATATTGTAGTGTACAATACGAGTGTACTACGAGCAGTGGGCTCATAGTACAATGGTTCTTAGTGGACAAAATGACTTAAGAAGAAATGTCTGAAGGTGTAGTGGGCTCGTAGTACAATGGTTCTTAGTGGACAAATGACTTAAGAAGAAATGTCTGAAGGGTCCCACCTTTGTAATCAGCAGAGTTTCAAATTTTCTTCATGGAAACGTACAGAAGATACACTGCATGCTTGGTAACGTGGTAATGCTGTCCATAGCCGGCAATGGAAGGAAGACTTGAAGAGTTTAGAATAGGTTAGTGTTGACTATGCAGAGCTCACCCTTCCTTGCTTTGTAGTAGGAAAAATTGAATGGCAGAGCTGACTACATACCTGCATAGTCTATCTACCTTATTTTGCTTTACAGAAGACAAAGTTGACATTTCAGTCATTTCCTTGACCTCCAGGAAAAATACTGAAATGCTTCAGTGCTTTGGTAGGCAATGATCGCGGATGTAGGCTTGGGATTGCATGATTCTGCTGACATAAAAAGGTTCCCACTTGCTGTTTTGCTTAATAGAAAGGAGGGAGAAAGTCAGGCTCACAGCAGGAGCCCTTGTCTTGTATGTTGTGTAGAATTTAATGAAAATGAGTTAGAGGTAGTTTTCTCAATCTTCCCAGAAGTCTCCCAGATGAAGAAAAAAAGGATAGTATGTTTTGGGGGGAGTGAGAAGGTGGTCGTTGCAACAACCAAAGGCTAGGAGCTACTGGAAAATAAGCCGCTATCCCTGAGGGTTAGAAAGTAAAACCTAAAGGCTGACGATAACTTTGATGACTCATTGTCTTTCCTTTTGTGACTGTTGTTAGTGGCATCCAAGGCGTTTTAATCCTTTATGTGCCAACCTTAAGTATTCCCTGGTATAGCAAACAAAGGGAAACAAAAAAATTTTGTATGTTTAGAGAAGGAGAATAAAGGAAAAAGGACAAATCATTTGTGCTTTTCTGCAGGTATTTGGCTTCTCTGTGTTAATGTTCCTTTCCATAGGGAAACGTCAATATTTGTAAGTGCAAAATTATGATACAATCGTGAGAATTGTTAATCATTTGCTAAGCTGAAATAGTTTCCTGCTTTCCTCATTGGTTTATTACATTTGGCCATTTGAGCTAATAGAAGTGTAAAATAAAACAGTACTGGACAGAGAATGGAGCATAAAATGGTTATATTTTCACTGTCACTGTTCAAGACAGCATGACTGCTGTGAAGTATGTTCTAATAGTAGTGCTTTGTATTGAAGAAATAAAATTCAGTGAGTCTCATTTTGTGTCATTGAGCAGTAATGCTACATGCTTTAGTTACAGTCATCTTTTAAACAACTTGAAATCTTCTGGATTTCTTTCAGTTCAACAGCAGCATAGCAGTGCAGCAGCTGCTGCCCAACAAGGTGGCTATGAAATTCCAGCAAGATTAAGGACCCTTCATAATCTTGTTATTCAGTACGCTTCCCAAGGCAGATATGAGGTTGCTGTACCTCTCTGTAAACAAGCTCTTGAAGATCTGGAGAAGACTTCAGGTCATGATCATCCTGATGTTGCCACTATGTTGAACATACTTGCTTTGGTGTACAGGTTTGTATACTGACATAGATAAATACCAGTTAGTTAATATTTGCCTACCGTTAATGCTTAGACTAACATTTTTTTACTGTTGTATTATTTTCCATTCCCTGTCCTGCAATATTTATATGCTCCCTATACTTAAAAATCAAACAAGTTGCTGAATTTTTGCTTGTGCCTTTGTTTTGGGAGTGAAGTTGGTTTCGATACTTTTTGTCTACTGAGGGGGTATGTTTTGATAACCCACTTGCAGATAATCTAGAGGTATAAATTGAACAGCAGTGTAGAAGTAGTACGTGCTCAACCAGCAAACTCTTTACAGTTACAGGCTTACAGGCTTTAGGTTTTTACTTCATGATTTGTGAATATATTCTCAATTACTCTTGTAGCATCTTTAGGCCAGTACTGAAGTCAGCTTCATTTTTATGACTTTCTTTTCTGAATCCCCAGTATTAATTATGACTCTTTAAAATTTAGAGACCAGAACAAATACAAAGATGCAGCAAATCTCCTGAATGATGCCTTGGCTATCCGTGAAAAGACTTTGGGCAAAGATCATCCAGCGGTTTGTATACATGCACTATCATATTCTTAGTTGTGTTTTTCATTGAATTTTTTTCAACTCATTCTAATATTAAACTCAACAGGAAAGTTTTTAAGACCTGGCTTATCTCTAAACAGTACAGGTAGGAGGCCACAATGTAACATTCTTGTTTTCTTTTAAATATTTTAACATACCTTTTGAGCATTTTATTCAGGGCTATTTCACCACAAATGACTCTCATACTTGATTTTTGGATTGCATGGATTTTCTATGGGAAGTTAATTTGGGAAGAAAGATTTTAATTTGCTTACTCAAATCACTTTATTAAATTCAGATTGAAGGTGTACTTCTGATTTGGTTTACTGCTGCTTTTAAATGAAACATAAATCAAGCTTTTGTACTTAGTGTTTAAAATTAATATGATATCTCACTTCATGTAGCCTGTGTGAAGCAGGGCAGCTCTGACTATAGATGTGAGAGGTAACTTTGTAAGAGAAGAACGTATGAAGAAAATGTATGCACTAAAGCACATTTCCACAAATGAAGCAAACTTATTGCATGATTTTGGGTTTTTTCCTTTCCTCACTTGTGTATGTATGCATTTGATAATTATTTCTTCATTTGCACATTTCAAGAGGTCTACCATGTGCATGAAAAATTTGAAAATATCAATGCATTGCAGATGTGTTCATTTGTCAGATATTTGTATCAGCAAATTCCAGTGTAATTAATATTTCTGTACTGTTGACAGGTGGCAGCAACTCTGAACAATCTTGCAGTACTTTATGGTAAACGGGGAAAATACAAAGAAGCTGAACCATTGTGTAAGCGAGCTCTGGAAATCAGAGAAAAGGTATGAGTAAAAGAATACAGTACCTTTGACTGGATTTTTTTTTTTTTTTTTTAAGGGAGGGAGCAAAGTTAAGCACTTCCACTTTTTTTACGTTTCAGTTGGGTAGATCTGCCAGATTTAGCAGTGCACTAGTAGTCAGCAGTGTCTGAAATTCAAAACAGTAGTAAATTCCAGTGGTCCTGTGGAGCTGTTGGAGCATGCTGGGTATATTCTAAATCCTGTATTTTATAATTAATCTCCTTTGCCTTTTTCTTTCCTCTTTGATAGTTAAGTAATCTTTGATTTGACAAGAGCACTGGAATTTAAAATTTTAGCAATGTTTCATTTTTAAGTTGATTATTCTATGACTATATGGATATTTATTCTAGTCCATGAGACCGAATACCTGCATCCTCAGGCCTCTGTTTAATACGCTGCTTATAATGTTATTACACTACTTACATTATTCCTGTTCTGAATTATTCTGCAACATTCTCAGTTTGTAATATAACTGAGTAACCTTTATATCTTTCTAATGCAAATCTTGCTTTTGTCATCCTCGTGTTGAATTGATGAGGAATAAAACCTAACAAAGTATTTCTAGATGACGCATTTCTGAACCCCGATACAATGATTGGAGAATGTTTTAACACGAGGTATTTCATTTTCAGGTTCTGGGGAAAGATCACCCTGATGTTGCCAAACAATTAAATAACTTGGCTTTACTATGCCAGAACCAGGGTAAATATGAAGAGGTTGAATACTACTATCAGAGGGCACTGGAGATTTACCAAACTAAGCTAGGACCAGATGATCCAAATGTTGCAAAAACAAAGAATAACCTGGTAAGCCTTTTATAAAGTAAATCTAAAAAAAAAAAGGAAAATTTTCTGATGAATTGAAATGCACCTTTATTCAGCGTGTATTGTATTTATTATTTACTGAGCTAAATAAAACAGTGTGCTGATATATCTGTTGGTGGGTATTTTGTTTTCAGGCATCCTGCTATCTAAAACAGGGCAAATTTAAGCAAGCGGAAACTTTATACAAAGAGATTCTTACTCGTGCTCATGAACGGGAATTTGGCTCTGTAGATGGTAAGAAACTTAGTCCCTAGATTTGAATGTGTGTTTCATTTTTGTAGTTACGAAATAAAATCCTTAGGAAGTTAATTGTATCCTGATTAAAATTGTTGTCTGTTTGAGGTAGACTTAACAAGTGAGATTATAGATGCATTGATGTACATTCATCATAAGAAAGCATTTAGATACAGCAGATTTGATTGAAAATGAGAGTTTTTCTTGCATAAGGTAGTCTTGGTATGTTTATGTTTTATGGATTGTATTTCTGGCATAGTTTATCTTATGCCCAACCAAAACCAACTTTGGTATTTTCATAGAGGCAGAAAAATGTATGTCACTTTCCAGTCACAGGAAAAAGTCTGTGCATATTTTTAATGATATAATAAATAACATTGTTAACATAAGTCCTCCATTAATACATTTAAAGAATGGGGAAAATACCCTTAAATTATGAATTACACTGTCCGTTGAAGTCAAATCCATTTTATCAGCTATAGATCACAGTGAAGAATTTTCATCGTGTTCTATGACAGTAGCATATGCACCACTTGGTAGGTGTCAAAGTGGTTGTTATGATAAAAGAAGTAAATGCGTGTTTTCTAGCACAGAACTAGGCACATGACAAATCGATGGCAGCATATACTGACTTCAAAGAATCTCAGAAGTACCTGTTTCGAAGTTCAGATAAGAAAAGAAGACAGAAATGTAAAACCGTAAGAGGTGCATATTTTATCTGTCTGCTGCTTGTAGCAGGGACAGTAAGGTGTTTTTTGTTCTGATAATAGCATAATTCCATGGTTCACAACTTCATTTCAGAAAAGTGAAAATAAGCAATGAATACTTTGTCGTTTTTTTACTTCCATAATATGTTTTCTTCTGTTTCATCAGATGAAAATAAGCCTATTTGGATGCATGCAGAAGAGAGGGAAGAATGCAAAGTAAGGCTGTTGTCATAAATCTTTTTTTGAGCTTTTACTATTTAAGTTACAAATCAGCTATTTTTCTTCAATGTTACTTTTGTTTTAGGGAAAGCAAAAAGATGGCACATCTTTTGGAGAATATGGTGGCTGGTACAAAGCTTGCAAAGTTGACAGGTGGGTAATTTCTTTACAGGACAAACAGCGTGGCAATACCCACTATCCAGAAATGTCAGATTAAAGCATGTTTAAAAATGAAACCAAACCAGCTGCTTGCTTAGGACAATAAAAACTATAGTATTAAAAATTCAGGCTCCAAGTCTGGGTTTCAGGAACACGGTAGTGTCCCAGGAAAGTCCCAGGGCTGCTTTTACTTTAGGCTGGTTAGATCTAGTAAGTGACATAAAGATTCACCACTTGTGTTCTTGGCAGTCCTTCACATGGAAGCGTAGATCACCTTTCTTTCTTTTTATACTACTGGTTGGCGTATGTGCTCTCCCAGCCCTAGTAGGACCTCTGGAGAGGGCCAGAAGCAAAAAGGAGACTGTGCAAATAACTGAGCCTTGGGTTTTCTAGCTGGCACAAGAGACAACGTTAAATGGCCACAATTCAGCATTGATGCATGTCTAAAGCTTGAAGAATTTAAGTTTCTTTAGTAATGAAAACGTGTACCTTAAAATGGAAGAAGAGAAACAAGGACTTCAGCTTGGAGTATATTTGGTGAAATATTTTTTGTTTGCTTTAATTTTGTTCCTTAACTGCCTTTTTTTTTTTTTTTTTTTTTTTTTAACGGGCAGGTGGTACAATGTAAGAAAAAACCTGCACCTAATACTGATAATGTTCAGTGAGGGTTTTTCATTTCTTCAGTGTTTGAATTCTTGTATTTAACAAGCAACAGAACCTTTATACTGCTGAAATCTGCTCTTTTTTCTCCATCCTGAACTCTGGGTGCAATGCAATTTGTTGGTTTGTGTTTCATGTACTAGTTCATTCTAATGCATGAGGAAATCTTTTCTCTGTTGTTACTGGAGCAAAACTTCAAGCAACAATACTGTGTGACTGAGCTAAATCTCATTGTGTCATTGAAACAAAAATGTCTTGTTGGAGTGTGAGACTTGTTAATGGAATGTGCAATATTTTTTACCCTTTATTGTTCAAGCGTAGTTTGAATGCATAGGAGCTGCAAATCGGTACTAAGTAAAAGCTGATGAAAGGAACTGGTAATTTGTTTTGTGACTAACACATGCTACAGTAATGGTCACTTTATGCATGAGTAGGCATATTTTCTGGAAGCGTCACAATTATTCGGTTGGACACACTCCGATTGAGCTAAATTTTCACCTCGATGTATCTGAGAAACACAAGGATATAGCACTCCAGTTTTCTCTTTAGTAGATCTAGCGGCTAGTTACTAAATTCCAGTTTCAGGTCTGTTGACTAATGAGCGTGAGCCATTAATGCACATTGAAAGGTTTTTCTGTGTACATGAAGTACAGTATAGTATATTTCAAGAGAGACTTACTGAATAATTACAAAAAATATAAGTACTATATTAATTTAAGCTTTTATTAGTTTTTGAATTGAGAAGAGTTTAATATGTGTGTGTGTGTATATACACACTTTTTTTTTCTTTAAATAGTCCAACAGTAACAACTACCTTAAAGAACCTTGGGGCACTTTACAGACGACAGGGCAAATTTGAAGCTGCTGAAACATTAGAAGAGGCAGCAATGAGATCTCGTAAACAGGCAAGTATGAAAATTCGCCTTAACGATATCTCTGCATTGTGGTCGTGCAGATTTTCAACTTCAGTATCTATTGTACATGCAGAATATATAAACTTTTGGCTATTCAGTGTCTGGTGCTTAGTGTTGCTTTCTAATTTCAGTCTGAACTGGTGATAAACTCTGATACTATCTTAACACTTGCAAACTGGTTAATCGCTAGGGCAGCAGCACCATGTACCAGGGGCATGGTTCGAATTTGGAATGAAATTATGTAGAAAATGGAAGAGCAGAAGACACTATGTTGACCAGCAGCCCTCAATTGGCTACATGTCCTGGGAGAGAGACAGTAGCTAGGGGAAAATGGAGTTTCTGTTGATAATCTCCTTTGCCAGTAATGCTGTTCTACTTTTAATAAGGAGTTGTCAAACTTAAAAATGTTATGTTTCTGCATACGACTGACTGCAACTGGTGCAGACTTTCAGAAGACCATTGTAAAATTTATCAGTTGCTGTTTTGGTTACTTTTGCAAACCGATGGCACAGATATTACAGTTTAAGGGAGGACTGTTATTCTTTTAATGTGGAGATGTTGTGTGCTGTCTCTGTGCTCTCAAATCTGCTGTTCAAGTAACCTTTTCTCACCGTCTTAGAAGGTGGGAGAGTGTTTAGTTTTGGGGTTTTATTGGCTTTGGGGTTTTATTGGCTTTTTGTTTTTCCTGTCCCTTTTGGATGATTTGATACAATGTCTTTTATAGAAGTGCTTAAGACTGGACAAGCAAACATGGCTTGTCAGTCAGTGTTAAATGGAAAGCAAAATAAGAAAATGTAAGTGAATTGAAAAAAAAAAAAAAACAACTTGGAAAGTTAACTCTAAATTTGGTTTTATGCAATAGTAAATAAGATTTGCTTTTTTTTTTTTTTCAGAAGTACTTTGGGTTTTTGTTGGTTTTTTTTTTCTTTTATGTCCCTGTAAAATTCTAAACTCAAATTCTAAATTGAAGTAAACTGAGTTAAGTGATGGTTAATATCTTTATTGATAGTATACTGGGTTTTATTGGTTATACTGATTTGAAGTTGTATTTTAAAGAATGATACTGCAGTATTTGGTGTACATAGAAGCAGATTCCTGGAAAAGGGAGAGAGCAAAAAATTCCTGGCAACCCTCATGCTCTTCTAGTGAATTCAGCAAAAGTTCCCTTTGACATAAGGTGGCATAAGTGCTTTCTTCCACAAAAAATGATGGAAAACTTGTGGGTGCTTGCCAAATAAGTGGAATGGAACTGGTAAGAGGAAAGTATGAATTTGGGAGAAAAGTTCTTCAGCAAGGAAAATTAAAGGGTGAGGGGGAAATAGCTGATACGGATAATTTCTTTTACTGATGATGATTTTCATGTACTTTTACTGAAGGTTCATTTTTCATATGTCTCATTCAGAGGTGATTTGAAGATAAGAAATGAACGTGCACTGCATCTTAACATACTTGCTTTGATTCTTGGTTTTACTGCTGCCATTACATATAATAATATTTTAGTGTGAACAATCAGGACAAATGGGCATAATATAACAGTAATAAGAGGACTCAAAGAAAACTTCAGCTTGTAGTTACATGTTTTTCCTTTTTTATATTAAAAAAAAAAAAAAGCCAAAACAGCCAGCTCTTCAAGTTGAAATTTTTACTGTGAAGCCTGGAATTGATTATTTTGGAATTAAGAATTGTGGAGGATCTTGCTATTGGAGAAGTCTCTTCTAGAGTCCCTGTTCAATTGTCCCACTTCTGGCTTGCCAGTACCTCTGGGAAAAACTGTTCCTTGTCTTAATTTTCTGTAGAGCCTGCTGGAGGCTTGCTGCTGCTACTTTATTTTTATTAAGCATGCTTCAGATTTTCGTTCGTGCATCTTATGTCACCTATACCATTATGCCATAAAATATCACACATTACACACAGCGCTAAATTTGGACGTGTAGGAAACAATGCTGTCTTGCTAGCAGTGTTTAACACTACCTTTCTATTCTAGGTCATTAAAGTAAAGGAGGACAGACAGAGTTAATGCTTGTCCCCTTTTGAGCTAAAAGCAGAGAGGTACTTTTGTTCCCAGGTGTGGAAGAGCATCAGTCCCGCGCACCTCTGTTCTGCTTTATGCATGTTTTGTTTGCTTTAGCTGCTGGGATGTATATGCTAGATTTTTGAAGACCAGTGAAGTTCTTTGTCCTTTATCTTTCATGACAGAGTCAAACTGGGAAAGTGCAGTTCCCTGTCCCTTCATTTTTCATTTTTTAATATTTTTTTTTTTTAACATGTGAGGTAAATGAGAGACAGTAGCTTTGGAACAGAGCCTAGAGGTTATTTGTATGATACGTCACCTCCTCAGTGGTGAATCTAAATCACTTTATGCTTTTTGTGTTCTGTGCTGCTAAAGGGTTTGGTGCAAAAAGCTGTTTTGAGCCTATGCTTCTCTACTGGGTGAGAGCGGTAGCCACTTTTCTGCACCATACAGCCGTGTGGAAGTGGAAATATATGTCATTATAAGTTGGTTTCAAGCTTCCTTTTGCGTACAATTCCGTTAGGGAGGGCTGTTCTGCTCTTCAGTTAGTGGAAAGCAGCTATATGGGAACCAAGCACATGATTTCTCCATGCCACTAACACAACCTTCATTCTTTCTCATTCACTTTACTTTTAAGTAGAATGTTGGCATAATTTTCACTTTCTGTATTGTGGGAGATTTTATGGCTTTGTCACATGGATCCCCTGCTGCATTTGCTACTTGCACAGTGAAAGATGCAGAATATTTTCTTAGTTTAAGGCATTCATCTGGGATCTCTTCCTGTCAGCAAATACTGTTCCTGATGTGGAGTAGGTTTATTATAAAGAAAACAGAACTGAAAATAAGCATGATTGAGCTTTATTACTTTCTAGTTTCTGTGTTAAAAGATTTTGCCTTTATTTTAGTGCAAGGTTTTCATAGAAGGTGCTTTAGCGCTTTTAAGATACTTTAAAGGATTATTTGGTAATTGATGGGCATTCTTTAACACAAAGTAAACATTTTACTGACCATATATCTTGTCTGTTCTATTATAAGCTTATTTTCTATTTGATTTCTTTCTGAAGGATAAATTATACTACTATGTCAACTGTCATATGTCAGTATTTTTAAATAAAACAACCTGTGTCTTAGGTATTTGATATTCAGACACCTGCAATGTTCTTTCCGAAGGTGGGTGAATACTGCAGCATTTGATAGGTGTAAAACTGAGAATTGCATTGACTATTCATGATCTGTAAATTGCTTAAATATTAAGCTGGTGGGCAAATGGCTTCAGGTAAGTGACGTGAACACCATAAGGCTTTGACAAGTGATAGGGAATGAGGAAAAGAATGGCAGGTCACTGAATTCTCAAACTACCAAACTGTCTGTCCGCTTCATGCTGTGTTCATTCCTGCGATGTATAAAGGGCAACTCATCTTGACTGCGCTATGAAGGCAGAATCAGGGTAATGGAGTTACGGGTTGGTTTGACTTCTTTCTTAATATGGTTGTTGCGTGTAAGTTGTAGATTAATACAGCCCGTAATAAAATAAAGCCTTTTCCTATTTTACCTAAATCTCAGGGTCTTGACAATGTTCATAAACAGAGAGTTGCTGAAGTGCTGAATGACCCTGAGAGCATAGAAAAAAGGCGAAGCCGAGAAAGCCTCAATGTTGATGTGGTAAAGTACGAGAGTGGTCCTGATGGAGGCGAGGAAGTGAGTATGAGCGTAGAATGGAATGGGGTAAGTACAGTACACAGTTTAAGAAAATAGCCTAGATAAATTATCACCATAACAAAGACGGTTGTCCATTCACCAGCCTATCGTTTTTTCAGTAGTTTCTTGGTTGATCTACTTTGTATTTTGTAATTTTGCAGAATCAATTAAGAAATGAAGAGTAACATTTTGTTTTTGATAACATCATGTTAACAAAATGTAATATTTTAAAAATTTAAAACATCCTTTCTGTTGTTGTCCTGAATGGTGAAGTTTCTTCAAGAATCCCAAGCAGTTGTATTTAAGTTGTTTAATGCTGATTGAGTGTCCTGGTTTATGGTCTGGTGTACAATTGCTTGTCAGTGTTTTCTTTTTACTGGTAGACATATTTTGGCAATTAACGTGCTTTTGCTTTTGTCCTTTTGATGCCATATTTACCTGTATTTTAAATGTTTCCTTAAAAATACTGCATCTGTTGGAATCACAAAGAATATTTGCTATGGAGATGTATTATGTGTTAGAAGTTTTAGAGTAAATTGAAGTGATCAGTCTAACACTAAAATAATTCCAATCTCCTCCTTACTCAACTTGTTAGAGAAAAGAACATAACTTTTCAAGCTGCTATACAGTCCATTTTAAGAGGCAGTGCCATCATATAACAGTGTGATAGTAACTTCACATTTCTTAAGTGAAATACGAATACCACTTTCCTATATTAGAATTTGACTGAAGTCAAGGCTTGTTCCTATTTGTATCCCGTATATTTACTTCACTGTATAACACTGATTGTCATAAAGTAAAAACACACATAATGTGATTACGTATGCATTTTTCTAACCATTGTTTTTCTTTATTTGAAAGACAGTGCAAGCTTTCAGTTATTGATCTGGCTTATGTAGTTGTTTGCTTCTGTCACCAGCTTTCCCATGCTTTATCCCATTGCTGCCAATGGGATATATATTGCACTGTTAACTAACTCCCAGCTGCAGTTCTGCTGAAAATACCCTGTTAGATTATAAAAGTGCTGTTGCCTGCTTTTGCTGTATGGGAGGGGAAGTAGCCTACTTTGCAATATTGAGTGTTCTGAAGTTTCATTGCTGTCACAATAGCTGTCTCTTTTTCTTTTTTTTTTTTCCTTCTTTTTTTAGCCACATGAAACAAAGTTTAGCACTCCAAGGAAACCTTGATAGAGCACATACTGCTTTAGTCTTAAAGGAGCATGTTCTTTCCATCTTTGCTTTTGTCCCCTTATTATTGTTTTCTTGGCATTGGTGTTCTCAGTGCCAAGACAGTCAATCAGCATCTAATATGAATAATACTGCATCATTAATAAAGCCAAAGTAAGGTTGGATAACTCTTTTTTAATTCTCATTTTGCCCATTCAGCATTAGAACTGTGTACTGTACTCCTCCCTTAATTTTCACTGTACTTTGCATGACTATATGTTCTAAATGGATTAAACTTTTTCTGTTATTGACATTAATTAAACAAGCATGCAGGTTTTGGATTGAAAAGGCCTTCTGGACAAGCAATAGACAGTATTTCTAGGTCAATATTTTAATCAAACTCAGTGATAAAAGTTGTTGATCTGAAAAATTAAATTTTGACCTGTCAAGGCAAGCAAACTTTTCATTTTTAATGTGCTGAAGTGGCATTGCTTTATTCTCATCTTTGTTTTTTCTTGGTTTTCCCCCTCTTAAGCAACAGTATTTTGTATTACGTCTTTTACATGAAGTGGGCAACTATCTCTCCCTCTACCCTGCTAGTGTTTCTATCTTAGTGCTGTTCTTCCCTCTACTTGATACTGTGTATGTTTTTTTACCCTTGCGTATTCCCTCCAGACAAAATACTCTGATTCATAAAATATAGTAGAATTCTTTTGTCAGGCAGATACTTCTGTGTGCAGAGCCTGAAGAGAGGCCTGCCTTTTCCCTTTAATTTATTTTGAAGGGGTCAAGCTCACGCATGTTCTATAGGTGGCGTATGTAACAAACTTCGATAAAAAATTATGTTGGAAGATCTAATGTAATTAAGTGACTTCCATACGGAATATAATTGCTATTAAACATTCTATGCTTTGATGTAATGTTTTACATTCTTACAAAAACAACTGAAATGTCTATTGGAAGTAAATCTGTCATTAACTATTAAAATGAACATGCTAAGTGAGGTTGTATAGTGCGTGTTTATGTGTTTCATATAAAGTTCATCCCTTAAAGTTAACCAAAGATACTTGAAAATGCAAAGGAATACTTGGTCTTAAAAATTCAAGGTAGAAATCCCAAGATTTTTATCCCTTACTATGTTTGTATGCTAAAAATGACAGTGGGTATCTGTAGTTGGCACTTTTGTCAACTGATCTTGCAGTCAGTTGGACTGATAAAAATCTTCGTAGTATGGTAGTGTTTACTTTAAGATCATGTTTTTGATGTGAGGAAGTATCTTTTATTATTCTAAACTACATGATTCAAAAAGGCTTTTGGGCACATCAGTCTGCTTTCAGGTGTGAAACAAAAGCAATACATTTCACTACCATAGAGCAGCTGGTAAGAGTTGCTCTTGTTTTATAGGAAGTGTCAGACAGAGCTGTGTTGTAGCAGACAACTACAAAGTAGAGGAGGAGATGTAAGCAAAAGTAATAAGGTGATTCTCATTCTTAGTGATGTGAAAATTGGCAATTAATCTTTGCCCTAGAAATAGATATCTGTGGTATTTTTGTTTGCACTGAGTTTAGGATTTTCTTTCTCCTAAGCTCATGTTTTAAAGGTGTTTTGTTAATGTAGTCAGTGTTTAACTTGGAAGTTCAATATTTTTATTTCAGATTTGAAGTACCCAAAAGCTTGTCTGCTTATTCCTAATGTGCTGGTTAGCATAATAAAAGTTATACTCTATATCTACCAAATTTGTCTTGCCTTTGCTCATTGGATCATTATTACTACTATAACATCACTGGTTTAAGACTATAGGAATAATTAAGTGTTTTTACTGATCTAATACTTCTAATTGGAATTTAGACTTCAATTTATTCAATCCTGCAAAGCTGAAGTTCGCTTCACTTTTAAAAGTGTAAACAATATATGCAATTTAGTTTGAAACATAAATAGTCGGTTAGATTTTGATCTTCTGATCACTTGGTAGCAAGGCATTTTGCTATTTGCAAGAGTAATTTTAATTACTGTTCATTACAGTTGCCATAGGCAAAGGCTCCCAAAACAGTTATCTTAATAATATTGGTAATGGTTTCTGTACTTAACACGGAGAATGGAAAGCATGTAAATTGAAAAACAGCTTCTATTTAAAGGTGGATTCTTTCAGCTGCCTCACTGTACTAGGGAAAGTACAGAAACTTCCACTTGGATAATACACAAACACACAGATATGTTCTAAAAAATACTTGTGAGGTCAGTTGGATTCTAATTCCTTGAAGGAATGCACAGAAATTTGTCTGGAGGTTTAGGGGAAGACCTCTTTCTTCTTTCAGTTTTGTTTTGAGGAAAATTCCTGACAGAAGTTAAAGCTGAAATGCATGCACCTTGCTCTGTTCCTTTCTTCTGTTGTGTTTTTTTTTCTTTATTTTTACTTTTGCGTTAATGTCAGCTGAAAAAAATTCTTTCTTTGTTTACAAAATGTAATCCTAAAGCTATCCCTTCTTAAAGGTGTTTTGTATTTTATACAAATGCACAGCATCATTCATGCTCGTTTGTAAGTTGCTTATTAGTGATACAGGCGAAACTGTATAAAGAAGTACATTGTGGTAATTGCAAGGGCCTGCACTTTGTACTTAAGGGCAGTCCAAATACTCTGGAAAAAAATTGTTTTGAATGTGACCTAGAAATACTGTAAACATAACTGTTCAAAATTGAAAACTGTTGAATTTTTCCCAACAGTTTCATTCAGTTTTTCTCTCTCCATTTCTGACAGGCCTAGATGCCTTTTGTGATTCTTATACTGTCTCCTGCATGACGGGCGTGCACCATCTTCAAGCTTTAACTTCTCTCTTCAGTACTGACTGCTGTGTTTTAGCAAACCCCTTAAGATTCTTGTCAGAGCTACACTTCCCTGTAAACTGGCCATTCCTTCAGTGCTGGTGTCTTTTTTTGGTTTTTCTATTTCTGTACATGTGTAGCTTTGCCAGATATGTATCTAGTCATACAAAATGTTATTACAACCATTTGCTGTGTAATACATTAGTAAAAAAAACCAAACCAACCAAGTAACGATGAACTTTATAAGTAGCTGTTCACTATGGAAAAAAGGTAGTTAAAAGTATCACACAAGGTATTATTGAAATGGCATGATGGTGATCTTTACAGGAGAAAAACAAAACAAAACCCATAACAGTAAGGCATGTTCTCCAAGTGCTTTAAAATGTATTTAGAGACCTATTACATGGTTAACATCAATATGGAACTCTGGATGTCTTCACTTATGATTATTCTGAAGTAGCATTGCTGTTTAGTCTTTGTGTGAGATTTTAGCAATTATGCTTTTCTCTACTAATCTTGGTGTTCAGTGATTTGTGTATTTGTCTTTCTAACTTCTAATAAACTCACTCCAACTCAGGTGTCTGTCTTTGTCTGCTTAGTAGAACTTTACTTTCTTCTTTTACAATTCTTCTTACGTAGGATTTCTGTGAAGTAGGAAGTGGGCACTTCTAATCTTACTAAACTGTTGGGTTTGGGGTTTTTTTTGTTGTTTTGGGGGTTGTTTGGGGGGGTTTTTTGTTTGTTTGTTAAGAGTAAAACATTAATAAACAGAATTGTGGTCAGTTGGAAGTTTCTTTCGATCAGCCTAGCAGTGTAAAACATGAATGCAATGTACAAAAAATTCATTTCATCGTGTTTTACATTTTCTTTGGTGGGTGTTAAAATGAAGCATAGGAATTTAACCATACATGTTTCTGATCAGAAATATTTTTGTTTAAGGATTTTAGGATTAAACAGACATGTTAGCAAGTGATGTAGATGTTTAGAAAAAATAAAACCAGATTTTTTTTCTTAGGCTGATGGAATGCTTTTGCTTGGGGCTTGTACTCTTGTTAACCACAGTGCACTCATATGAAATGGTAACATGGTGATGGTGAATCGTTTGACTACTGTGGTGGGGTTTTATTAATTATTGTGAAGACATGCTCAAGCCATGGTTAATATTTTAGAAATCTTTGTTACGGTTTGGAAGGAACGATTTTGTTTTGGTAAAGTTATAGCTATATCATATTCTGTGTTTAGGTAATTGTATCAAGTATATATTAATAGCAATTTAAAATTTTTTTTTTATCAATGAAATGTTTTTGAGCCAGGTTTGGGGGAGGGCAACAAACTTTTGCACTTTCACATTTGTTTAATTTTTTTCAGGATGGCACTGGATCTTTAAAACGCAGTGGTTCCTTTAGCAAACTTCGTGCTTCCATTAGACGCAGCAGTGAGAAGCTGGTTAGAAAGCTGAAGGGAGGAAGTTCACGAGACAGTGAACCAAAGAATCCAGGGTAATTATCTATTCTTAGCTGTACTGGTGTGCCCTCGTTCTGTGCCCTCACTGTAGCCTAGTGCAGTACTTAGGGCACTGTTTTTTTCCCGTTTTACTGCTTTAGCCACTAGAAGAGTAGAAAAGCCTCATAGAATTACTGATAAATGGTAGTTACCTGCAAAATTCTTCTCCTTTTCACACAGCAGTGAAGAATAATAAATGTTACTGATTTTTACAATAAAAGCTTAAATGCAGTAAGCCCACAACTAACATTCGTGATATAGCTTAATATTCTTGATATAGCTTTATATATAAAGAGAATTACCGACTTGAGCCTTCTCAGTTTCTATTTTTGGAAAAAACAGATTTCGGAGAGCAGAGGAAAATGTTGAAAAACTTGAACCCAGTTGTGCATCTCATTAACATTTCAGCCTCAGTGAAGTCAGTGGTGAAGCTTCAAATTTTAAAGAAT